ATAGCTTCAGCAGCTTCTTATATAGCTTGGTCATCTATATTTATTTTTAGTTCATTAGTTTGAATAGTTTCATTATCCAAACTCTTTTTATCAAATATACTCAATACTCTCTTACTCTCTATCTACTTACTTCTTTCAATACCATCTCTTTTGATTATTTCTTTAAACAATTAAATAACTCAGTTGCTAATAACTCTTTCTTCATCTAAAGTCCTCAAACTGTTTTAAAAAATTTAGGATCCCTTATAATTAATTTAGATAATACCTCTTTTGAATTTAGTATCCAAGTACAAGATAGTTTAAGTTAAAGCTTATAATTAGAAAATATAATTATAGAACTCTAACATACTACATCTCTACTCCCTTCTAACGAAAATACTACTTACATTAACTTTCTTTCATAAGATAGAAACAGAACTCTTTCATCTCTTTTCACTGATATACCTCTTCTTCCCTCTATTGAAACCTCTCACTTACAAATAGTATAAGAAACCTCTCATTATCATATCTTTAATCTTGCTACTACAGAAATTGTTTAGCAAGCTCAATAATTTACTAACTTTACCTTTTCTTCTAAATTAATAGATAATACTCTAAATATATCTAAAAACTATTCTCAACCTAATCCTTTTTCTGAAAACTCTTCTCACTATACTCTTCTTTATATTCTACCTTCTCAACAATAATTTCTTTTTAATATTAACAAGCCATTTGTGATTCAAGCTGAGGATTTCGATAGCGAATGGTGGCCCCTTGTCACTAACGTTTGGACAAGGTACAATTTCCAGAACTATAATAATGGCAACTCGTGGGTGGCATATGCATGCCATTTTACTAAGCATAACCAGTCAAGCATTCGTAAAGATGGAGTTCCGAGCGAAAAGCGCAGAAAAACGAAAGTGCGTTCACCAGACTTATGTCATACAAAAATCAGGGTTATGCGGTTTGTGAATGAACAAAAGGTTCTTGTTGAACGATATCCGAATAGTCAGGATCACACACATACCATTGAAGGGAGCGAAAAATTAAAACGTTCTCAGGTTGTTCATAGCTTGATGGAGGAGGAAGCAATTAAAAATTATCCACCCCCAGCTATCGTTAGTGCAATCAAAGAGTATGCAACCAATCGGTTGGACCTTGATGCTAGTATAAAGGAATTAAAGCGAATGGAAGTATATAATATTAAAAAAAAGGTTAATGGATTACAGGATTCACATTTTATAGGCAATTTAAATCTAGAGATGGACATTGACGAATCCATTCTTTTTTTAAAAAAAGAAGGATATCTTGTAGAACGCTATGGTCAGTCAGTTCAGGGTCTTGTTTTTGCGCACCTAATTCAGCTTGAGAAGCTTTGTCGTTTTGGGTGGTTAACATTAATCGACTCAACACATAAAACAAACCGATATGATTGGAGATTGTTTACGCTATACATTCGTGATAACTATAGCTCTTGGGACGTTGGGGCACATTTTTTTGTTAGTGCTGAGACAAGCGAGATGGTTGCGGGGGCTCTGCAAATAATCCGGCGATTTAAAAGTTCCTGGGCACCCCGTTACTTCCTTGCAGATCAAAGTAGTGTCGAGACTAACGGCATTTTTAGAGCTTTTCCGGGTTTACCAAAAGGTGAACAAGCATACGATGTTCTTTTTTGCAGTGTCCACGTAGTTCGTACTTGGATGAGTAAAATTTATGAACCGAAAATTCGGAGTAAAATGATACACGCAATGCACAAAGTAACAAAAGCCGGATGCGAAGAACTTATTAAGGAGGCAATTGATAAATGCCAAGTCCCCGACATTAAAAGGTACATATCACGAAATTACACAAAACATACAAATCAATGGGCCCTATGGGCCCGACAATATTCCCCTCTCCTCCTACAAATAACTTCAACAAACGCAATCGAATCGTATCATAGCGAATTAAAAAGAACGACTATTTCTCATCATGGGTTAATAGGTAGTTTTTATATATTTGTACTTTTATTTTATGTTGAAATAAAATTTTTTAATGTTACAATTTATAATTTATTTATGCAATAAATAAATTTATAATTAATGGTTTTATTAAGATGCATGTAGTAAAATAGTTACACTCGATAAAAAAAAACAATTGGATTCAGAAAATACGGTTTTTGAGTTTCATACGAAATGAATCTCAGCCTTTGGCGTAGGTTATGAAATCCTTGATCAAATCCATAAGTTCCCATTTCCCATACAACAATTAATCATTAGTGAAGTTCACGCTGTAGAAAAAAGAATCGAAAAGGGTAAAGAATCACCAGACCTTATGTCTCCTAACTGCCATTGTCTTTTTTTCCGTCAATATCTACTTCCGTGTTGACATATATTTTACGAGCATCTATACGAAGAAAAAAAATTATTAACTTCTAGTACTTGGGAACGGTTCCAACAAATGTTTATAGAGAGTGGGTTCGAAGTATATACTGGTCGTGAGTTGGTGAAAATTGACTTGCCTAAGAAAACGGAGGCCGAGAAGGCTTCGGAGAAACGATGTTTAATGGTAAATGAATTGATGGAAAGGACACGAAATGCTTATTGGAGGGTCGAAGAAGAAGGTGATGCAGTGCAGAAGGCTGCGTTTATTGAAACATTGTCATCTTCCTTAAATACGGTTCTAAATTTGAATGGCAGAAAAATGTAAAAAAATAAAATAAAAATAAATAATAAAATTGAATAAATAAAATTAAATAAATAAAATTAAATAAATAAAATTGAATAAATAAAATTGAATAAATAAAATTGAATAAATAAAATTGAATAAATTAAGAGAATTGCAGCAATTTTTTATTTATAAAGTTGAAAACTTGAAGATATCTTGATGACTACATCGAATTTGATGCAGTAGTCGTTAAGATATCTTCATTAAAGTTTGACTAAAAATTTTGGTGGTTTAAAAAAATTTAATCGAAGATATCTCGACAGCCACTGTACCAAATTCGATGAAATTTTTTTATTTGAATTCTACAACTTTGTAGAATTCAAATAAAAAAAATTCATCTAATTTGATGCAGTGGTCGTTGAGATATCTTCAATTAAATTTGACTCAAAATTTAGGCGTAGCTACTACATGTGATAGATGTTTTAAAAAAAATTTAAAAATTTTAATCGAAGATATCTCGACGACCACTACATCAAATTCGATAAAAATTTTTATTTGAATTCTACAGATCTGTAGAATTCAAATTAAAAACTTTGATTGAATTTAATACAATGGTCGTTAAAGCATTCAAAGTTTTCAAACTTCATAAATAAAAAAGTATTATAAAAAAACAGTTCATTTACTGAATCCCGTGATTACCCAATGATCGTCGATCATCGGACAATTTCATGATGTACCTGGCTTTAAGCGACCCCGGTTTATGGTAAGTTAGATACAAAAGTCTGAGTAATTATTCAAATTCGTCAACAGTAGAATTTGAACTCCAGATCTTTTACATAGCAGTCTGACAACTTAACTACTACACTAAGATCATTAGACTTCTAGATAGAGTTATTCTATTTCTCAATAAGATTAATACTAAGCTTAGCAATTTGTTTAGTTAAGCTTTGTTAGTATTGTTGTGAGTTAAAGAGGCCATAAGTTATTCTGTTTTCTATCAGCAAGCAATAGTGATAGTATTGTTAAAGGTATCCAGTTAAGATACTTGAACATTGTTAGCATATTCAGATTATAGTCCTTGAATAAAGAGTTGAATAAAGAATAAGTTAGAGAAATTATCATCTAGGTCTACTCATTCTTTTAACTATTTAAACTTATTAATATAAATATTGACAGTATCTAATTCTTGTTGTATAGCAAAAAGTTGTTTTTGCTATATAGCTTTTTGTTTAGAGGTGCAGAATCTTTCTCTAAACATATGAGTAAAACTATAGACTCTTTCATTATTAACTTCATTTTTATGTTTGTCATTATGAAAGTATTAGAGTATAGCCTAAACTTCATTACTATTCTTATACATTGTCTTTCAAATAGGCAAAAGCTAATTCGAGTTAGTAAGTAGAGTTTCATCAGTTAGCTTTGCTAGTTTGTTTAATTCTTCTAGCTATATTATAAGTCTTAGGTACTATTATTATAAAAAGATTCAATTTTGACTAAAGATTTTTTACTACTAGCTCCAAGAGTATTGGCTAAAGTAGTCATAGCTTCAGCAGCTTCTTATATAGCTTGGTCATCTATATTTATTTTTAGTTCATTAGTTTGAATAGTTTCATTATC